ACACATTAATAAGGACGGAAGTGAGGACTTTTGCAGATATCTAATATTAAGTCGCTATAAGGCCTTACATCAGTGAAGACCAGTATACTGTCGTTGCCTTTCTTCAGAACAAAGCTGCTGACTCCATACAACGTGTTGTTGTAAAATAAAAGTGCGCCTGATCTCAGACGTTTGGAATTGTCAACGTTTCTGATACAAATGAAGTAGCCCCAGTACCGGGGCATGTACTCTTCGCAATCTTCAATCACATTTTCGTCCTCATAAAATGCCTTTGACCTCATGTGGGTTTGCCTTTTTGGTTCTCTGTGTAAATAAGTGAGCATCAACGGTTGATCCAATACATCTTCCTCAAACGCTATGGCCGTCAGCATGGGCCCGGCTACTCGGTAGCTGGCCCGATAGCCCACCCCGTACTGTCTGAATGTGTAACGGCCTGGAGTGGGGTTCAAGAATGACACTGGCCCTCCTTTTATTTTTAAAATCATCAAATCGTGTAGTGGGCTGAATTGTTTTTGTAATCCATGCCACAGTTCGCTGGGTGACGTGGCGTTAGGCATCGGTATGATTTGATGAAACCAGTCTATGGGAAAATCGTAATAGTGATAATAGACTTCAGCTTGTGTCACCCGTTTACGCCTATGTAAAGCGCGTACCCGTAAATCATTTAAAAACGTAAAGTACTTGTATTTGGTTAATTCATGTCTGTATGGGTTATATGATGTCAAAACGTGTTGTCTAGTTATAAACACGCCCTGAGTGTAGCGATGTTCGAATAAGATGTTTCCTGGCTTTAAATGGTGATCGTGACATAGTATTAAAACAACTCTGTCGTAAAATATATCCATATCTATGGGTTGTCCATTTCGGTCGGCACGGTCCACCCATCTGAATTGGCTGGTTACGGCTACTTCCGACACGTACCAGGAGGCAAGCAGCAGAACAATGTGGAGTTCGTTCCTGAAGATAAAGAAAAACTTAATAAAATAACTGGTATGAATGGATAATTAATTATGATACGGTAAGTGTGACAAATTGAAAATTTTTAATAATGACCGACAGTCGAGGTAAAAATAAAATAAATTAATCACTAGTGATTATTTAATAATGTGACCATAGTAGTAGTAGGTTCTAACAAATCCTACTAATATCCTACTAATATTATAAATGCGAATGTTTGGATGTCTTATCCGTTTCCAAACCAAAGATATACAAGCTTTAGACTGGCCTGCACAATCCCCTGACTTAAATCCTATTGAGCATGCCTGGGATATGCTTCAGAGAAGAGCTCTTAGGAATTTCCCTGAAGTGATTGTGCATGAAAACCAGCTTTTCTTGCATCTTATTTAGGACTTGGAACAGTATTTCACAACAGGATATTGACACCCTTCTTTTGAGAATGCAGAACCGCTGCAGATGTGTCAGGAGAGTCTCTTAGGTGGATCCACGGATTATTCATTTTAAGTTTTCAACAATTTTTACAAAAATAAAATGTTGTTTTGTTTAGGTTTTGATGTTTCAAAAATAAAGTTTGTTGGAAAGTTAGTTTTAGGTTAAACGCAAGTATTTTAATATTTGAATTTGGCACTCCGCTGTCAATGCAAGGCTTCCAGGCTTCTGGATCAATCACTCGATCTCATGTAGTCTCTGTGTGCTGTATGTTCTAAAATAAATCCGTGGTAATCTTCGTGGTCTTTTCCTTCTTACGCTCCAACTCCAACATGGTAGCAGTAAATTTTGTCTGAGATTTTCCTCTTGTAAGTTTTTTTAAAAATTTCACTTTATCTAAAAGTTTACTATCAGATTAGATAGGTTATTAAACAAGGTTTATTTTAATGTGTCTTAACAAAAAGTTAATAGAATTTTAGTTATTTAGGTTCAATTTATATATCCCTAGCTGGACCATGTTGATGTGTGTAGTTTAGAAACAATCAAGGAGATCACTTGTCGTTTCCACCCTGTATAACCAGCTAATTATACGTACTACTTACATTTTTGTCACGTGTAGTAGATATGACTGTATCTCCCGATGTGTTCTTATTACCACTTCTGAAGTCGAACTGTTGAATCTGAAATCTTAAACAAAAAATGGAATTTATTATACTTAATAGTTTACAAATAAGAACGGACGTTTATCAAATTCTTAGTTTTTGTGTAAGTATTATTTATTTATTTATAAATTACAACGGATGTCTTGTTTTTGTGTACAGTGGACCTGTCCCAGCTACCAATTTCAGTTCCATTCTTTATTTACCATAAACAGAAATTTTTAAAACTAACGCAAACTAAGTTATTTCTTTTATCAAATGTTAATTCTTTGCGAAACGAGACTAATCAGTTGTAAACTGTACTCGACCAAAGTGTGAACGGTGTTTTGGTCAGTAGCGAATAGTTTAGTTACTAAATGGGAGTTTAGTTACTCGACTAGTGCGAACAAGGCTTTAGTTTCTTTCTTTCTATAACTAAGCGCAGACCATCGATTTTTCGTCGGCCGATAGTTTAGTCGGGCAGTTGATCAGTATGGATGTATGGAAGTGCGCACATTACACCGATTTGATTTGGCCGATTTTTCATACAATTTAAAATCGTGCACAACTATCGGCCAACTAAAAATCGGTGGTCTGCGGCTAGTCTTACGGAAGCAACTACAAGCGTAAAGGCGACTACGCACTCTTCAAAAATTCAGGCAGTGACGAATAGGTACTTGGTAAACCCTTTTGATCATCATTTTGTTAAGAAAAGAAGCAAACTTCATTTCAATTTTTAATACTTTATTCCTATTTATAATAAGTAGGTTTTTTGCATCGCCTTACTCTTTCTGCATGACCCGTGGTTGACTGGCAGAGAATGCCATCCGGCATTAAGTCCGGCACAGTGCATTGTTAGTTTGTGTGCTGAAGTTTAAATAAATAAAAATAAATAATCATCATACGTCGGGCCTTTACATCAATTCGTATCCCGGCAGTACTTGAACCCTTAGGTATCTGTCGAGATGATGGTAAAAGGCCCGACGGTATGACATTAATTCCTTGGTCTAAGGGTCGGGCATTGGTCTGGGATGCGACGTGCTGTGACACTCTTGCCCCCTCCCATGTGCCTTCCACGTCGAAGGCTGCAGGCGCTGCGGCTGCTTCAGCGGAATCTTTGAAAAAAAGCAAATATTCCGCTTTAGACAGCTGCTACCGTTTTGTACCTTTCGGCGTGGAAACGCTGGGACCTTGGGGCCCGGAGGCCAAAAAGCTTTTCACTGAGCTTTCCTCCCGCATCATCGAGGTTACCGGTGACTAGAAGGCCGGGTTCTACCTTGGCCAGCGTTTAAGCTTAGCGATCCAACGCGGAAACGCTGCCAGCCTTTTGGGCACCGCTAACCTCACCGACAGATCTGGGGATAGGGATACTTTTTTAATTTAACTTTTATTTTCCTTTTTTGTAAATATTGTATTTTTTTGTATATAGTATAGTTTTTAAGTTTGTAAATTACCTGTACAAATTTAGTTTGTTGTTCTGAATAAAATAATGTCTAATTAAAAAAAAAAACATCATAATTTACACAAACATAATGAAAATGTAAGTAAGTTGTATATTATAATATTATGTTACGGTAAATGTGATAAAATGTGAAAATTATGAATGGTAAATAAACCTCATGATTTGGTAAATGTGATTAATGTGAAATCATTTATGAACTTACGTGTTACGGTAAATTTAATGAATTGTAAATGATTAATAATCGCCGGTTATTAAAGTAATAAATGACGTTTATCAGTGATTAATTAATAATGTTGCCTTAGTACTAACAAATATCATAGAAGAGAACAACGGCTGGTGTATAAGTAAGTGCTCGTGTACAGTACAGCCCCTCATTTTGATATCATATTATATTATATTAATTTATTTTGGAATCATTATGCCAAAGTAAATTAATATAATAATATGATAAACTCATTAGTTTAGAATATTTCTTACATAATATTACTTTTCCATGATGCCCATCCCATAACATAATATTGTTTTGATTTAAAGTGTCAAATAGGCTAAGGTGCGGTGAGGGTGGCCCTTTGGCCACCCCTAAGCCGCCTATTTAGTATTATACAGGGTGGCCCAGAGAGAAATTCAGTTTTGAAAATTCAAGTAAAAAATCTGTAATTTTGTAGTACTTTATTCATTACAATTCAAAGAAAATTAAATGAAATTTATTTTAAAATTTACCTTTATTAAATTACATCGCCTAAAAGACTTCCTTGACGCTTACAACATTCGATCAATATACATCAAAATCCTGAAATGCGTTCGTTGGGATTACCTCGAAACCTATTTTCCATTTTTTCCCGAATGTTCAGCTTCATTTGCTCATTTGCTGCATGGTTGTTGGATTATAAAAGTATACTTTATTCTTAAGGTAACACCACAAAAAGGAGTTTTCTGGAGTGAGATTAGGGCTTTCTGGTGGCCAGGAGATACCCCTGTCTGAAATATTTTTTTTGTAGGAATATGTCTCTTACCATCTAAATGCTGTCATTTGAAGTGTGACACGTAGGGGCTACCCCATCATCATGAAACCAAGTGCTCCTGTTATAGCCTTGCGAATCTTGCCACTTTGAAATCAAAAAGCTTTACAGTATGCCAGTATGGCGCTCTCAAAAATTAAAGTTTTCCAAAACTTTAAAAGTTAATTTTCTTCTGAGCCACCCTGTACCTACTATGGAAGCATGGATGGACAGTATTCTTTTCTATGGTATGGTAAGTAATGGGCTCATAAATATTTGTAGTTAATTAAAAATATTTTTTTCCTTGTACTAGACTCGACCACACCCGCGCTCCGATGACGCCCCGACCACACTCGAGCGCGGCGGCGGCGTGCACTACCCGCATAAGAGCGCACCGCCTCCCCTCAAACTACCCTCAAGAGAATGATCAATAAAACACACTTAACATAACTTTTTTTACTCATTTATTACAATTCGATCCGTCGTCTACACTTGAATGATTAAACGACGAAGTCATTAATAAGGACGGAAGTGAGGACTTTTGCAGATATCTAATATTAAGTCGCTATAAGGCCTTACATCAGTGAAGACCAGTATACTGTCGTTCCCTTTCTTCAGAACAAAGCTGCTGACTCCATACAACGTGTTGTTGTAAAATAAAAGTGCGCCTGATCTCAGACGTTTGGAATTGTCAACGTTTCTGATACAAATGAAGTAGCCCCAGTACCGAGGCATGTACTCTTCGCAATCTTCAATCACATTTTCGTCCTCATAAAATGCCTTTGACCTCATGTGGGTGTGAGTTCTGTGCCACTCTGGTTCTTTATGTAAATAAGTGAGCATCAACGGTTGATCCAATAAATCTTCCTCAAACGCTATGGCCGTCAGCATGGGACCGGCTACTCGGTAGCTGGCCCGATAGCCCACCCCGTACTGTCTGAATGTGTAACGGCCTGGAGTGGGGTTTAAGAACGATACTGGCCCTCCTTTTATTTTTAAAATCATTAAATCGTGTAGTGGGCTGAATCGTTTTTGTAAACCATGCCACAGTTCGCTGGGTGACGTGGCGTTAGGCATCGGTATGATTTGATGAAACCAGTCTATGGGAAAATCTAAAGTGTGATAATAGACTTCAGCTTGTGTCACCCGTTTACGCCTATGTAAAGCGCGTACCCGTAAATCATTTAAAAACGTAAAGTACTCGTATTTGGTTAATTCTTGTCTGTATGGGTTATATGATGTCAAAACGTGTTGTTTAGTTATAAACACGCCCTGAGTGTAGCGATTTTCGTGATACTGGTTTCCTGGATCTATTTTACGAGTAAGACATAGTATTAAAACAACTCTGTCGTAAAATATATCCATATCTATGGGTTGTCCATTTTGGTCGGCACGGTCCACCCATCTGAATTGCCTTTTTAATACGGCTACTTCCGACACGTACCAGGAGGCAAGCAGCAGAACAATGTGCAGTTCGTTCCTGGAGACAACGAAAAAGTTAATAAAATAACTGGTATGGATGGATAGTTATGATACGGTAAATGTGATAAATTATTAATAATTACCGACAGTCCAGGTAAAAGTAAAATAAATTAATCACATTTATTAGTGATTATTTAAAGAACACCGGCTCATGTACAGCGCTCGTGTACGTACAGCCACACATTTTGATATGATATATTAATATAAATTGGCATAATGAGTTTGGAATGTTTCTTGCTTAATATTACTTTGCCATGATACCCAAAACATACTGTTTTGATTTAAAGTGTCAAATAGGTTACCCCTAAGCCGCCTATTTCGTTTTATACATACCTACATATTAATAATAACCGGTAATTATTAATAATTTTCACATTTATCACATTTACCGTAACACGAGTTGTATTACACTATACATAATAATATGACATTAAAGATTTTATTGACATCAAATCCTAACATTTATGTAAAATTCAATTAAATTTGCTGTAATATAATATTAAATACTTGAAATGTAATTTTTCATGCTATTTGTAATGGCGAAACATGACGTGCACTACTAAAATCTGTAAAATCTTTAAGTTGTATACCATGTTTTACGCAAATACAAATTCTGATTCTGACACAAAGTGTCGAGTCAGGAAATATACACATCAACATGGTCTAGGGATATTTCAATTAAACCTAAATAACTAAAATTCTATGAACTTTTTGTTAAGACATCTACACATTAAAATAAACCCTGTTTAATATCCTATCTAATCTGATACCTAATAAACTTTTAGATAAAGTTAAATTAAAAAAAAAAACTTACAAGAAGAGGAAAAACTCAGACAAAATTTCAATCTTAACTTTATTTTTGTAACATCAAAATCTAAACTAAACAACTATTTTTTTATAAAAATTGTTGAAAACTTAAAATTTATAATCCGTGGAACCTAAGACTCTAAGACTCTCCTGACACATCTGCAGCGGATCTATATAATTATTATTCAAAACAAGGGTGTCAATATCCTATTGTGGAATACTGTCCCAAGTCAGTAATAGAATATTAGTTATTAAGGTTCAATTTAAATATCTCTAGACCATGTTGATGTGTGTAGTTTAGAAACAATCAAGTGATATCACTTGTCGTTTCCACCCTGTATAACCAGCTAATTATACGTACTTACATTTTTGTCACGTGTAGTAGGTACGTATACTGTACCTACGCACGATATCTCCCGATGTGTTCTTATTACCACTTCTGAAGTCGAACTGTTGAATCTGAAATCTTAAACAAAAAATGGAATTTATTAAAATAGTTTACAAATAAGAACGGACGTTTATCAAATTCTTAGTTTTTGTGCAAGTATTATTATTTATTTACATATTTATAAATTACAACGGATGTCTTGTTTTTGTGTACAGTGGGCCTCAGTTCCAGCTATTAATTTCAGTTATTCTTTCTTTTATCGAATGGTAATTCTTTGCGAAACGAGGAATAATTACTTGTAAACTGTACTCAACCACAGTGTGAACGGTGTTATGGTCAGTAGCGAGTAGTTTAGTTACTAAATGCGAGTTTAGTTACTCATTCGACTAGTGCGAACAAGGCTTTAGTTTCTTTCTTTCTAAATTTAAGAGTAGGCGCACACCGTTGATTTTTCGGCGGCCGATTGTTTAGTCGGGCAGTTGATCAGTATGGATGTATGGAAGTGCGCACATTACACCGATTTGATTTGGCCGATTTTTCATACAATAAAATCGGGCACAACTATCGGCCAACTAAAAATCGGTGGTGGCGGCTAGTCTTACGGAAGCAACTTACAAGCGTAAAGGCGACTACCAGTGGCGGCGTAGCATGGGTTGGCACCCGGGGCGATCACCCCCCTCCCCCCCGTCATAAGTCCTAAGGCACCCCCTGGTACACCCCCGGATTTTGGGGTTACCTACCGATTCAAAGATTGAAAGACAATCGCACCTCCCCCCCCCGTATCCATGATAGACCGCAGATTTGCCATGCAGATGCGCNCCACAACCGCGCTCCGATGACGCCCCGACCACACTCGAGCGCGGCGGCGGCGTGCACTACCCGCATAAGAGCGCACCGCCTCCCCTCAAACTACCCTCAAGAGAATGATCAATAAAACACACTTAACATAACTTTTTTTACTCATTTATTACAATTCGATCCGTCGTCTACACTTGAATGATTAAACGACGAAGTCATTAATAAGGACGGAAGTGAGGACTTTTGCAGATATCTAATATTAAGTCGCTATAAGGCCTTACATCAGTGAAGACCAGTATACTGTCGTTGCCTTTCTTCAGAACTAAGCTGCTGACTCCATACAACGTGTTGTTGTAAAATAAAAGTGCGCCTGATCTCAGACGTTTGGAATTGTCAACGTTTCTGATACAAATGAAGTAGCCCCAGTACCNTTGAAAGACAATCGCACCTCCCCCCCCCGTATCCATGTTAGACCGCAGATTTGCCATGCAGATGCGCCAGTGAGTACTAATCTGCGCGACTTGTGTCACCCCCTAATGCTTGGCACCCGGGGCGGACCGCCCCTACCGCCCCCCCCTTACGCCGCTACTGGCGACTACGCACTCTTAAAAAATTCAGGCAGTAACGAATAGGTAGGTACTAGGTAAACCCTTTTGATCATCATTTTGTTAAGAAGCAAACTTAATTTCAATTTTTAATACTTTATTCCTATTTATAATAAGTAGGCTTATTATCAAAAATGTAAATTTTTTGCATCGCCTTACTCTTTCTGCATGACCCGTGGTTGACTGGCAGAGAATGCCATCCGGCATTAAGTCCGCCACAGTGCATTGTTAGTTTGTGTGCTGAAGTTTAAATAAATAAAAATAAATAATCATCATAATTTACACACACACAGCCACACATAACGAAAATGTAAGTAAGTTGTATATTATATTATGTTACGGTAAATGTGATAAAATGTGAAAATTATGAATAATTACCGGTGAATAATTACCTCATGATTTGGTAAATGTGATTAATGTGAAATCATTTATGTACTTACGTGTTACGGTAAATTAAATAAATTGAAAATGATTAATAATCGCCGGTTATTAAAGTAATAAATGACGTTTATCAGTGATTAATTAATAATTTTACCTTAGTACTAACAAATATCATAGAAGAGAACAACGGCTGGTGCATAAGTAAGTGCTCGTGTACAGTACAGCCCCTCATTTTGAACGTTTTGATATCATATTAAATTATATTAATTTATTTTGGAATCATTATGCCAAAATAAATTAATATAATATGATAAACTCATTAGTTTAGAATATTTCTTACATAATATTACTTTTCCATGATGACATAATATTACATAACATAATATGGTTTTGATTTAGTGTCAAATAGGCTAAGGTGCGGTGGGGGTGGCCCTTGGGCCACCGCTAAGCCGCCTATTTAGTATTATACAGGGTGGCCCAGAGAGAAATTCAGTTTTGAAAATTCAAGTAAAAAATCTGTAATTTTGTAGAACTTTATTCATTACAATTCAAAGAAAATTAAATGAAATTTATTTTAAAATTTACCTTTATTAAATTACATCGCCTAAAAGATTTCCTTGACGCTTACAACATTCGATCAATATACATCAAAATCCTGAAATGCGTTCGTTGGGATTACCTCGAAACCTATTTTCCATTTTTTCCCGAATGTTCAGCTTCATTTGCTCATTTGCTGCATGGTTGTTGGATTATAAAAGTATACTTTATTCTTAAGGTAACACCACAAAAAGGAGTTTTCTGGAGTGAGATTAGGGCTTTCTGGTGGCCAGGAGATACCCCTGTCTGAAATTATTTTTTTGTGGGAACATGTCTCTTACCATCTAAATGCTGTCATTTGAAGTGTGACACGTAGCCCCATCATCATGAAACCAAGTGCTCCTGTTATAGCCTTGCGAATCTTGCCACTTTGAAATCAAAAAGCTTTTCAGCATGCCAGTATGGCGCTCTCAAAAATTAAAGTTTTCCAAAACTTTAAAAGTTAATTTTCTTCTGGGCCACCCTGTAAGTACCTACTATGGAAGCATGGATGGACAGTATTCTTTTCTATGGTATGGTAAGTAATGGGCTCATAAATATTTGTAGTCTATTAAAAATATTTTTTTCCTTGTACTAGACTCGACCACAACCGCGCTCCGATGACGCCCCGACCACACTCGAGCGCGGCGGCGGCGTGCACTACCCGCATAAGAGCGCACCGCCTCCCCTCAAACTACCCTCAAGAGAATGATCAATAAAACACACTTAACATAACTTTTTTTACTCATTTATTACAATTCGATCCGTCGTCTACACTTGAATGATTAAACGACGAAGTCATTAATAAGGACGGAAGTGAGGACTTTTGCAGATATCTAATATTAAGTCGCTATAAGGCCTTACATCAGTGAAGACCAGTATACTGTCGTTGCCTTTCTTCAGAACTAAGCTGCTGACTCCATACAACGTGTTGTTGTAAAATAAAAGTGCGCCTGATCTCAGACGTTTGGAATTGTCAACGTTTCTGATACAAATGAAGTAGCCCCAGTACCGGGGCATGTACTCTTCGCAATCTTCAATCACATTTTCGTCCTCATAAAATGCCTTTGACCTCGTGTGGGTGTGAGTTTTGTGCAAATCTGGTTTTTTATGTAAATAAGTGAGCATCAACGGTTGATCCAATAAATCTTCCTCAAACGCTATGGCCGTCAGCATGGGCCCGGCTACTCGGTAGCTGGCCCGATAGCCCACCCCGTACTGTCTGAATGTGTAACGGCCTGGAGTGGGGTTCAAGAATGACACTGACCCTCCTTTTCTTTTTAAAATCATCAAATCGTGTAGTGGGCTGAATCGTTTTTGCAATCCATGCCACAGTTCGCTGGGTGATGTGGCGTTAGGCATCGGTATGATTTGATGAAACCAGTCTATGGGAAAATCTAAAGTGTGATAATAGACTTCAGCTTGTGTCACCCGTTTACGCCTATGTAAAGCGCGTACCCGTAAATCATTTAAAAACGTAAAGTACTCGTATTTGGTTAATTCTTGTCTGTATGGGTTATATGATGTCAAAACGTGTTGTTTAGTTATAAACACGCCCTGAGTGTAGCGATTTTCGTGATACTGGTTTCCTGGGTCTATTTTACGAGTAGGACATATTATTAAAACAACTCTGTCGTAAAATATATCCATATCTATGGGTTGTCCATTTTGGTCGGCACGGTCCACCCATCTGAATTGCCTTGTTAATACGGCTACTTCCGACACGTACCAGGAGGCAAGCAGCAGAACAATGTGCAGTTCGTTCCTGAAGACAACGAAAAAGTTAATAAAATAACTGGTATGGATGGATAGTTATGATACGGTAAATGTGATAAATTATTAATAATTACCGACAGTCCAGGTAAAAGTATCACATATCACATCACATTTACTTATTAGTGATTATTTAAAGAACACCGGCTCATGTACAGCGCTCGTCACGTACAGCCACACATTTTGATATGATATATTAATATAATTTGGCATAATGAGTTTGGAATGTTACTTTGCCATGATGCCCAAAACATACTGTTTTGATTTAAAGTGTCAAATAGGTTACCCCTAAGCCGCCTATTTCGTTTTATACATACCTACATATTATTAATAATAACCATTTATCACATTTACCGTAACAGATAGGTAGGTACACGAGTTGTATTACACTATACATAATAATATGACATTAAAGATTTTATCGACATAAATCCTAACATTTATGTAAAATTCAATTAAATTTGCTGTAATATAATATTAAATACTTGAAATGTAATTTTTCATGCTATTTGTAATGGTGAAACATGACGTGCACTACTAAAATCTGTAAAATCTTTAAGTTGTAATACCAAATACCATGTTTTACGCAAATACAAATTCTGATTCTGACACAAAGTGTCGAGTCGGGAAATATACACATCAACATGGTCTAGGGATATTTCAATTGAACCTAAATAACTAAAATTCTATTAACTTTTTGTTAAGACATCTACACATTAAAATAAACGCTGTTTAATATCCTATCTAATCTGATAATAAACTTTTAGATAAAGTTAAATTAAAAAAAAAAACTTACAAGAAGAGGAAAAACTCAGACAAAATTTCAATCTTAACTTTATTTTTGAAACATCTAAACCTAAACTAAACAACATTTTTTTTATAAAAATTGTTGAAAACTTAAAATTAATAATCCGTGGAACCGTGGACTCTCCTGACACATCTGCAGCGGTTCTGCATATTATTCAAAACATCCTATTGTGGAATACTGTCCTAAGTCAGTAATAGAATTTTAGTTATTAAGGTTCAATTTAAATATCCCTAGACCATGTTGATGTGTGTAGTTTAGAAACAATCAAGAGATATCACTTGTCGTTTCCACCCTGTATAACCAGCTAATTATACCTACGTACTTACATTTTTGTCACGTGTAGTACATATGTATCTTCCGATGTGTTCTTATTACCACTTCTGAAGTCGAACTGTTGAATCCGAAATCTTAAACAAAAAAACCGACTCCAAAAAACCTACACTAAAAAGTAGAAAAATAATTACTAATTACCTACTTATTTATTAGGACGAATTATTAATATTTATGTAGGTATACCATGATTGATACTTTTGGAGTCGGTGCAGGCAAACTTTACATGTTTCATAATCTTGGCACCGACTCCAGAAGTATCAATCATGGTATACCTACATAAATATTAATAATTCGTCCTAATAAATAAGTAGGTAATTAGTAATTATTTTTCTACGTTTTAGTGTAGGTTTTTTGGAGTCGGTTTTATTTTTTTTTATAAAATTTTACTTATTTCTTGCATTTTAGTTAACTAATTATTACCTTGATGTTACCACTGAAGGTAGGCAGTACATTGAGACCATATTCTTCATGTCTAGTGTAAAATAATATTCCCTACAAAATAAATTGGTGCATAATCGGCGAAGATATTGCGTATAAAAAAGTTCATCCCCAATTTTCCACCCTTGGGGGAGAAATATTTTCTTCAAATTCGCATGAAACCACCCTTTTGATAATACCTATTCAACAAAAAAATAATCGTTCAAATTGGTTTATAATCGGCGGAGATATTGCGTATAAAAAAGTTCATCCCCGATTTTCCACCCTTGGGGGTTGTTTTTTATATTATTAAATTTAAATGGGACCACCCTTGAGCTATTACCTATACGCCGAAAAAAGATTTGTTCAAATCGGTTCATAATTGGCGGAGTTATCGCGTAACAAACATAGAAAAAAAAAAAAACATACGGGTCGAATTGAGAACCTCCTCCTTTTTTGAAGTCGGTTGAAAATGGAATTTATTATAATAGTTTACAAATAAGAACGGACGTTTATCAAATTCTTAGTTTTTGTGTAAGTATTATTTATCTATATATATAAAAGAAAGTCGTGTTAGTTACTTCGCTTATAACTCAAGAACGGCTGAACCGATTTAGCTGAAAATTGCCAGGGAGGTAGTTTAGAGCCAGGAGAAGGACATAGGATACTTTTTATCCCGTACGAAATTAAAAAAAAAGTCTGCTTATTTATTGCCATTAAGGCGGAACAAAGTTCGCCGGGTCAGCTAGTTTATTTATAAATTACAACGGATGTCTTGTTTTTGTGTACAGTGGGCTTCAGTTCCAGCTATTAATTTCAGTTCTTTCTTTTATCGAATGGTACTAATTCTTTGCGAAACGAGGACTAATTACTTGTAAACTGTACTCAACCACAGTGTGAACGGTGTTTTGGTTAGTAGCGAGTAGTTTAGTTACTAAATGCGAGTTTAGTTACTCATTCGACTAGTACGAAATAGGCTTTAGTTTATTTCTTTCTAAATTTAAATGTAGGCGCACACCGTTGATTTTTCGGCGGCCGATAGTTTAGTCGGGCAGTTGATCAGTATGAGCATGTATGGGAGTGCGCACACTACGCCGATTCGATTTGACCGATTATTCATACAAATTAAAATCGGGCACAACTATCGGCCAACTAAAAATCGGTGATCTGAGCCTAGTCTTACGGAAGCAACTTACAAGCGTAAAGGCGACTACGCACCCTTCAAAAATTCAGGCAGTGACGAATACCTACTAATCCCTTGTGATCATCATTTTAGAAACAAACTTCACTTCAATTTTTAATAACTTTATTCATATTTATAATAATCATAATTTACACAAACATAACGAAATGTAAGTTGTATATACTCAATACGTTTGTAGCGAGTGCATTAACTTAACTCGAAATAAAAATAATTAAAGGTAATAATTATGAAGGGCACACATATTGCACAATTTGTCGTTAGTGTTCTGGGGCCAAAACTGTGGATAAAAATATATTGTGACCGAAGACTTCCCATATAAAAGCTGTTATCAACTATTTCTACTTACACACTAAGCATATCGAAAAATAACTATGAAATATCACACATTACATGTTACCTTACAATTTACGGTCAATGCTGTCGACTACGTATAGGTAATATTCAAATTTTATTGAAAAAATGGCATTAAAATTTGTTAAGTTAGCTTTTTCTTTTTTTTGCCGCAGAAAAATAAATAAGTAAGCATCACTGTCCACAGCGGCATAGCGTACTATGTAAAGTCCGGTCGCCGAGCACACAGAACTTCCTCCAATGACCTCAAGCTACCCATCCTTGTCGCTCGCGCGTAATTATATTGCTGTCACGACTGTGCGACGGGCGGCCGCAGTGAGTGTGCGAGCGCACGCGAAAATATAATTACGCGCGAGCGATAAGGATGGGTAGCTTGGGGTCATTGGACGAAAGACTTGTCACCGTGACAGTATGTCCCTCTTTTTCTCTTTATAAAAGTCCGTGAACAGTGACGCTAACTAGTTACGTTGTATATTAAATCCTGACGGAGTTCACAATTTCACGTCGACGGATATAAAATCATAATTTTGGTCTCAAACTTGAGATTGGGGGCGTTTGGCGGAAAATAGCGCTAGCTAGTAAAAGGGCGTCCTTTTAGCGGTAAGTGCAGTCACTGTCAAAAAATGTATGGGAAAACGTCACTTTTGAAGTTTAGCAAACGTGTTCTAGCCGAAAACATGCTAAAGTTTTGGCGGTTGCCATGGAGATCGCCATTTTGCTAACAATTTCTAACAAGCGCTATTTTCGGCTGAACGCAGCCATTGACTGACTGAGACTGTGAAAGTGTGACGTCACAATGCAATAACGGGTCCGCGCCTTTACATTCTAAGGGAGAATGGTTGTGGTCAAATACCTTTTTACTATGAATCCTGGAATGGTTACTGAACACAATCATGGAGTGCAACAGACCTAACCAACAAATTAATTTAGTCACTAATGTAAATGCAAGAGGAGTCATATTTTGACAGGAAAACGCAGTAATGTATAGTCAAACGATTCTGAAACGTCAAGTGGCAAAAATCGGAACTAATAACCCAGTATTGCATAGTAGCGCCCTCCTGTAAATGCCATAATTGTATGATTGTCCAACGTGGCAGAAATTGGAACTAATTCAGTATTGATAGTAGCGCCCTCCTGACAACATGGCTGGGACGGTTCAATGTTGGACAATTATAATAATTTATTGATATAAAATACTTCTGCTAATGTAGTAGAATGTCAATGTGAAAGTAAGCAGAATTTCTATATAAAAAAACCTTCAAGCATGGTAATAAGGTTGAAATATAAAGGATTTGCTTAATTTAGTTACTACTAGTAGTACTAAAGCCCGGTCTTTGAGCACATAGAATTTTGTCCAATGACCCAAAGCTACCCATCCTTATCGCTCGCGCGTAATTATATTGCTGTCGCGACTGCGCGACTGACGGCCGCAGTGAGTGTGTGAGCGCGAGAGCAACATAATTACGCGCGAGCGATAAGGATGGGTAGCTTGGGGTCATTGAACAAAATTCTACGTGCTCGCAGACCAGACTATAATTAAGCAGAGTAGTAGTGGTAATTTGAGTGATTTTATAATATTTACGTACTGAAGTAGTGTCCGAAGTATGTAATAACAATCCGTTACGGTTCTGGAAATTTTTATTAAAGAATTTCAACCTTATCTCATATGAATAAAGCTTAAAATTCAGCCACTGCATGAGGCAAAGAGCGAACTGCGTTTTCCTGCAAAAATGCGCCATAAAGGGTAAATTATGAATGACGCTAAATGAACTTAAGTGCATCTTATTAATCTATCGATACATAACTTTAACGTTTCATATTATCTTCAGTCATCCTTTATTACTATGAAAAATCTACCGAGTACGCGATTATAGGCTTTACCAACGGGTACTAAGGTATCTTATTTATTGGAGCCACCAGTCTAGCCAGGGATCGGCAACATGCAGGTAAATGCTTGAAAATTAGGTTTTCGTCACAAATACATATAAAAGAAGCTTTAAAGAAATATCTTTCGCTTTGGGCAGGTCGTTTGTGACTTGTTATAATAGTGTCAACGTAGTGCCAATCGACGTGTCAGTCCTTTAAAATAAATTTAGTTTTGAACCCTATTCCATCTGCATAAAGTACAAAATATGACGGCAACATTCCGTGTCCACCAGACAAACGGTTCAAATCTATAGGTTGTCTTTCCATATATGTTGACGATCTCTGCCGCAACATTAATGAAGACGTAAGCCTAGGATGCGCGCTACGATAAACTTTTATCGATACGCGATAAGCCCGTACATTTGTCGTCTAAGACATCGATAAGATTATATCACGGCGCGTATCCTAGCTCAGATGGACTCTCCCAGTTTACATTTTGGTAAAATATTGACAGCAAAATGTCAAATTTTTTGGACGTGTGATGCGTTATAGAATAACATTATGCGTTATAGTATTCCATGACAATTGCTAAAGTTACACATTCCGTGAGCGACTCAACAATAATTCGATTACACATTAATACTTTAAGGGCAGATTACACCACTGGTTGACATTGTTTGGTTTACTAGCGGCCCAGTATAAATGTCATAGCAGACTTATCAACTCGTACAGGGTTAACACCGTAGATGGAATTTTGTAAAGCAATCGTAATCATTTGGCAGTTCATAACGTACGATAAAGTCAGTTAAACAAAGCGTTTGACAGAATAATCGTACGTTATGAACTGTCAAATGATTACGATTGCTTTACACAATTCCACCTCGTACCGCCTTACGCGCGCTGTCAACCGCAAGGCGTTTACGTTACCGTACGGATAAGTGTGCGTGTACGGAGTTTCATTCAGAATATTACCTCGAGTTGATACGGTTACGATCCGTTTGAGGGTTGATAAGTGTGCTTCGTCCTTTAATATCGACCGATAGTTTGGCCGGCTTCTAATTTGTATGAGAAATAAAATATGCCGATATGAAATCGGTGTAATGTGCGCACTTTCATACATGTTCATACAACAGCCGGGTTAAACTATCGGCCGATAAAAGGTACTTTAAAATAATATGTATGTAAACACATACATAATTATTATTTCATACATGTATGTGAATATACAAGGAAACCCTTGTCGACTTGTATTATGTACGGACGAAGGCATATCAAGCTTACAGCTTCAAACACTGTGGCATTTTGCAGTTGTTTTAGCTGCCATTTTGCAATGTCAAAATGTTATGTGTTACTATAGGAGTCACTTAAAAATTAGGGATTGATGGTGAAAACGGGCAAGTCTAATTTCAACGGGAGCAATGTCATACGCCGTCTAGTAAATTATATTAAGTGGTGAATCTGCCGAATGTATGGCCGGATGCGAGCCAATTTAGGCTTTCTGCTCTACGTCTTCGAGTTCAAACTCCTTCTCCCAACTTTCGTCAGAATTAGCGCTCGCATCGTCTTTCACTTCCTTGTCCCCAAAATAATCTTCAACTAAATTCCCGCAGTCGTCAGCCTTAACCTTTTTCGGTGAGCGGCCATTTTTCTTGTCTATGTTTTTATTTTTGTCTGTGGTCTTGTTAATTTTGTCTGTGGTTTGTGCGTCGTTTCCGTCTGCGTTGTTGTTGGTGGCGTCACGGGCCGGCTTTTTTGTCACTTTCTTCGAGGTTATCTCTTTCTCGTATTCTTCTAGCAGCAGAGTCTGTTGTTCTTCGGTCAGTTCCACGTCGTTTGCGAAGTCTTCTGGAAAATAAGGGCGTGGTTTTAAACGTGGTCACACTTTGATCTATTGGGACTCATGGAAGTGATGTCACAAACTTGTCAAACTAAGGGTGGGTTGCACCATTTTACTTTAACTTTGATAAGCGTCAAAAATGTGTCAAACTCCAAACAAAAAGCACCGGTTATCGTTATAGTTACGGTCAGTTCAGTTAGGTGGCGCAACTCAGCCTTAGTCTCAACCAATCGACAGTTATCGATAAATAAGAGAGGTACAGTCAGCGTCAAATAATTCATGACACCCAAAGTAGCCAAAAAGTTCGCAATACGTATTTGTTACAATTGGAATAAGGTTGTGTTGTCAACTTTTTGGCCACTTTGGGTGTCACGAACTATTTGACGCTGACTATACCAACTGTACATGTTTTTGCAATGGACTATAGTTCTTGCAACTCACGAAGGCGAGTGAGCTTTACTTGTGTGGGTACATGCACATAACGCCGTAAGGTAGCATCCCTATCGGTTTTCTACAGGCTACACTTCGGAGAATGTGCGAAAGAATTACATGAATTAATTCCACCAGCCCCCTTCCATCATCGGGGAACCAGACGCAGGTTAGCGTACCATCCCTATATTGTTGACATTCCACCAGCTCGCACTAAGCGTTTCGATGACTCTTTTATAATGCGAACAGCTAGGGACTGGAATTCGTTGCCTGCTGCTGTCTTTCCCGAAAACTATAATCCGGGCCTTTTCAAGGCGAGAGTGAATAGGCACTTACAGGGCAGATATGTACCATCCTAGACCGCATCCCACTTAACATCAGGTGCGATTGTGGTCAAATACCTGCCTTGTTATGCATAAAAAAAAAAAAAAAACGACAGTGTAATGTCAATCAAAATTTTTAAAAAACGAACAGTAGCGAGCCACCACACATGTAAAGCTCACTCGCCTTCGTGAATTGCAACAACTATGACCTGTGATGATGATGATGATAACAATGAGGGTTTTCGCGAATGAAAAATCCGCTAGATGGCGGGACGTGGATGTGGGGTCTGACTGCTGCGTGATTGGTGGATTTTGACATATCTGTCAATGTCATGTCAAAAATAACCAATCATGCAGCATTTGGACCTCGCGTCTACGTATTGCCATCTGGCGGATTTTTCAATAGCGAAAATTCTTATTGGAATAAGGGTTGTCAAATTTTTGGCTACTTTGTGTGTCACGAACTATTTGACGCTGACTGTACATGTTTTTGCAATGGACGAAATGACCTGATAATGATAATGATGATATAAACTACACTCAACATCAAATAAATCGCACCTCCCGCAACAAGCACTTTCAAACGTATGCATCCCCACTTCCCACAAATATTGGCACCATTTAAAAGCCTAGTTCTAAACGTCATTTCATTAAAGGAAAGGTTTTTACCCCAAAAATGTGTCTTTAGAAGGTTCCAGAGACACTTCTTAAAAAAATAGGCTATTACGCTTGAGCCAACTTTTATGGCTATAAAACTGTTAAGTTGGGATTAATCGCTATCTATCTGTTAAAGTGGACACGTGTGATCATTATTTGGTTTTATAACCATAAAAATTGGTCTAATTGATCCCAGAGGTGAGCCCAAAGTGAGGAACTTTTTTCAAGTCACATTTATTGTTTATGTTAATCGTTGTTAATCGTTTATTAAGAAATTAAATGTGTTTTTCTTTAAGGATATTTATTGGGCTTTCAAATAACATCAATATTGTTGGGATACCATGATTGTGTCAGTAGAAACGAGTTTTCCTGTAAAATGTAGGTAGGCCGATTTTTGTGATGACCAGTATATTTGAAGCTGTACATGTTTTTGCAATGAACTAAATCACCTGATGATGATGATATAAATTGTATACCTATTATACACTCACCATCCTCCCAGGTAACGTTGTCAATGTCAGGTGTTTCGAACGGCGTCTCCGCTTCTATGCCCGACAGCACTTTCTTAGGGCTCCTGTGGGATATTTAAAGCTTTTTAAAGTTTCTGGAATTAAACATAGGCAAATATTTAAAATTAATAGATTATCATTACTTTGTGACAAATATTTGGATGGCAATAATTTATTCGTCCACATAAATATTTGTATTTATATATTTTTAAAATTTAAATAATTGTAAAATATTTGTAAAAAATAATTTGTATTCTGTTGCTGTACCTAAATAAATAAATAAATAAAGTTGCCATATTATAATGGCCCTGTATGCCCGTTGCTGTAGCCCTGTATATAGTGCGAGTCTTGATAAAGTGCACATGTCAAAATAGGTGAAACTAGAGCTATTTTTATCGAAGGAAAAAGTGGCAAAATATATTTGAGATTCGCGTGTAATTATATTGCTGTCGCGCTCGCACACTCACTGCGGCAGCCCGTCGCACAGTCACGACAGCAATGTCAGCAATATAATTACGTGCGAGTGATAAGCATAGGTTTGTCGGCCGTTTGGTGTAGTGGTTCGAAACGGACTGCTATTCCGGAGGTAGCGGGTTCGATTCCCGCACAGTACAAACATTTGTGTGCATGAACATATTTGTTTGTACTGGACTGGGTGTTTTTTATGTATAATAAGTATGTATTTACAAAAAAAAGTATTTAAGTATGTTTATATCCGTTGTCTGTACCCATAGTACAAGCTTTGCTTAGTTTGGGACTAGAAGCGCAGTGTAAAATTTTCAAGGATATATTTATAGGTAACTTGGGATCATTGGTCGAAATTATAACTGCTCGGCGACCGGACTTTAGTTTGGGTGTGACTCGTTAGGAACAAGCGCAAATCGCTGTCGCTTACGCTGTACTGTAACCCTGTATATGTATAAGTTGTCGTTTAAACTCACTGTTCTATAGGCGCGACTACAGTCTGCAGCGGCAGATGTGCGCGCACCGGGTCAGCTTTAGGCGTTTCCATTACTGCTGTAGTCCTTACTACTCTATGCCGTAGCGCTAATTGCACTTTGTTTAATAGCTGTAGCCTTGTATACACGTTGCTGTAGCCCTGTATACACGTTGCTGTATCCGTGTATACTCACTGTTCTATTGGCGCGACTATAGTCTGCAGCGGCAGATGTGCGAGCACCGGGTCAGCTGTAGGCGTTTCCATTATTGCTCTAGTTCTTACTAATCTTTGCACTTTATGTTTATAGCTGTAGCCTTGTATACACGTCGCTGTAACCCTGTATACACGGTGCTATATCCCTGTATACTCACTGTTCTATTGGCGCGACTACAGTCTGCAGCGGCAGATGTGCGAGCACCGGGTCAGTGGTGGGCGTTTCAACCGGCTGCTTGCGCGAGGCTGCTGCCAATCGGTCTTGCAGCAACGCCACCCGGAATAGGTACCTGGTTGAGAAGATACATTGAATTGATTGGTTTGTTATCATTATTCTACCAATCTTTTGAGTTTGAGAAGGAAATTGGGAGAAAATTCAGATAAGAACAAATAAGACAACTTTGAATAACAGGTTAACCTTATTCAAAAAAATTGGTAACACTTTGCAATTTCACCCTGTATAACGAACTTATTGCTCCCAAAAATCATCGCGCGTGTATTAGGCACCAGATTCTAAATCAGGCAGCATCAATAACTACTCCCAGAAGTGTCATAAGTATCCATGTCCAGGTCTTCAGGAGTATTTATGAGCCTTGAGGACAGGACTATTCACAGACATCCATGTCTATAGTCTTCAAGAGTGCAGGCTGCTGGTAGAACCTAGCTAGAAGGGTGTATCTAACAACTCATCGCTTCCAGAAGTCTTCGTGCGTGACTGCATCAGGTAATCAGGAGCTAATCATCATAATAAGCATATCCATAGTTTTTAGGAGACTGCTGCTGGTAGATAGAAGACCCTAGACTTCACGGGTCAAAGTCTCGCCGCTCCCAGAAGTCCTTGTGCGTAGTCACGCATCAAGCACCAGCATCAGATTACTATACCAGGCACCAGGTTGGCCTCAATAGTCCCCAGAAGATTGCTGATGGTAGATAACCTAGCTAGAAATGGGGCACATATCACTCTCTATCTATCTACTCTCCTGAAGAACTGCTCTCTGCTCCCAGAAGTCTTCCTGCGTGACTGCATGGATTCCTGGATTTGACAGTATAGGACACTACTCCCGGAAATGTCATAAGTCCATGTCTTCTAGAAGACTACTGGTGGTAAGTAGAAGACTGTTGTTGGTAGATAGGAGACTCTAGCCTAGTTTAATCTACTCACCGCTCCCAGAAGTCGTCGTGTGTGACCGCGTCAGGCACCAGCTTGCGGTACTGCGCCTTGAGCAGCGGGCTGGAGTCCAGGCGGCGCGCGGCGGCCGCGGGGGCGATGACCTCGCCCTCGCCCCCCTCAGGGCTGCCCCGCCGCGCCGGGAACAAGGGGCTGGGCTCAAGGCTTTAGGAGATCGCTGGTGGTGGATAACGTACCTAGAAAGGCGACCTAACTACTCACAGCTCTCAGAAGTCTTCATGAGTGACTGCATCAAGTAATCAGGAGCTAATCTTACAAACCACGTTCATAGTCTTCAAGAGACTGCTGGTGATGGATAACCTACTTAGAAAGACGCATCTAAGTACTCACTGCTCCCAGAAGTATTCATGAGCGACTGCATAAGGCACCAGTTTCTGCGCCTTGAGGACCGAACTGGTCATACATATCCATAGTCTTCAAGAGAATTCTGGCTGCTGCTGCTGGTAGAACCTAGTTAGAATGGGGTGGAACTGCTCTCCGCTCTCAGAAGTTTTCGAGCGTGACTGCAATCGGAGCCTGATGCTTTCAGATCCAGAGTTTAACTTCTGGATCTGACAGGATCAGGCATCGCTCCCAGAAGTGTCTTATGTATCCATGTCCATGTCTTCAGAAGACTACTCCCAGAAGTCTTCAGGCACAAGCTTCTTTATCTGTGAGCGTCCAGAAGTGTCTAAAGAATCCATGTTTTCGAGAGTCTGCTGGTGGGAGATAGGAGTCTCTAGAGCCTTTACGAGTCAAGCACTCACCGCTCCCAGAAGTCGTCATGTGTGACGGCATCAGGCACCAGCTTGCGGTACTGCGCCTTGAGCAGCGGGCTGGAGTCCAGGCGGCGCGCGGCGGCCGCGGGGGCGATGACCACGCCCTCGCCCCCCTCTAAGCTGCCCCGCCGCGCCGGGAACAAGGGACTGGACTCAAGGGTTCAGGAGATCGCTGGTAGTGGATAATGTACCTAAATGGGAGCATCTAACTACTCAGTGCTCTCAGAAGTCTTCATGAGTGACTGCAATAGATTCTGCGTCTTGAAAACAGGAATGATTACACTCATTCAAGTCTAGTCTTCAAGAGATTGCTGGCTGCTGCTACTGCTGGTAGAATTTAGCTAGAATGGAGTAGAACTGCTCTCCGCTCCCAGAAGTTTTCGAGCGTGACTGCAATCGGAGCCTGATGCTTTCAGATCCAGAGTGTAACTTCTGGATCTGACAGGATCAGGCATCGCTGCCAGAAGTGTCTTATGTACTCCCAGAAGTCTTCAGGCACAAGCTTATTTATCTGGGAGCGTCCAGAAGTGTCTTGTCTTGTCCAGGTCTTCAGGAGTCCGTTGGTAGTAGGTAGGAGTCTGCTGGTGGTAGATAGAAGATTCTAGACTTCAAGTGTCAAGCACTCACCGCTCCCAGAAGTCGTCGTGTGTGACGGCATCAGGCACCAGCTTGCGGTACTGCGCCTTGAGCAGCGGGCTGGAGTCCAGGCGGCGCGCGGCGGCCGCGGGGGCGATGACCTCGCCCTCGCCCCCCTCTAGGCTGCCCCGCCGCGCCGGGAACAAGGGGCTGGACTCAAGCGACGGGCGCCCGCAGTGAGTGTGCGAACGCGACAGCAACATAATTACGCGCGAGCGATAAGGATGGGTAGCTTGGGGTCATTGGACAAAATTCTACGTGCTCGCAGACCAGACTATAGAAGGGCGCATCTAACTACTCATCGCTCCTAGAAGTCTTCGTGCGTGACTGGATAAGGCTCCAGTTTCTGCGCCTTGAGGACAGGAATGGTCACACTCATCCAATATTCATAGTCTTCAAGAGAATTCTGGCTGCTGCTGCTGGTAGAAATTAGTTAGAATGGAGTAGAAACTGCTCTCCGCTCCCAGAAGTCTTCGTGCATCAGGCACCAGCTTCTGGATCTGGTAACATCAGGCACCGCTCCTAAAAGTGTCATAAATATCCATGTCTAGATCTTCAGGAGTCTACTGGTGGTAGGTAGGAGTCTCTAGCTTTCACGAATCAAGCACTCACCGCTCCCAGAAGTTTTCAGGCACAAGCTTCTTTATCTGGGAGCGTCCAGAAGTGTCTTAAGTATCCATGTCCAGGTCTTCAGGAGTCTGCTGGTGATAGATAGAAGACTCTAGACTTCAAGTGTCAAGCACTCACCGCTCCCAAAAATCATCGTGTGTGACGGCATCAGGCACCAGCTTGCGGTACTGCGCCTTGAGCAGCGGGCTGGAGTCCAGGCGGCGCGCGGCGGCCGCGGGGGCGATGACCTCGCCCTCGCCCCCCTCTAGGCTGCCCCGCCGCGCCGGGAACAAGGGGCTGGACTCAAGGCTTCAGGAGACCGCTGGTGGCGGATAAGCGACCTAACGACTCACAACTCTCAGAAGTCTTCATGAGCGACTGCAATAGATTCTGCGAGTTAAGGACAGGAATGGTCACACTCATTCAAAGACCATAGTCTTCAAGAGAATTCTGGCAGCTGCTGCTGGTAGAACCTAGTTAGAATGGGGTAGAACTGCTCCCCGCTCCCACAGAAGTTTTCGAGCGTGACTGCAATCGGAGCCTGATGCTTTCAGATCCAGAGTGTAACTTCTGGATCTGACAGGATCAGGCATCGCTCCCAGAAGTGTCTTATGTATCCATGTCCATGTCTTCAGCAGACTACTCCCAGAAGTCTTCAGGCACAAGCTTCTTTATCTGGGAGCGTCCCGAAGTGTCTTAAGTATCCATGTCCAGGCCTTCAGGAGTCCGTTGGTGGTAGGTAGGAGTCTACTGGTGGAAGGTAGGAGACTGCTGTTGGTAGATTGGAGACTCTAGCCTAGTTTAATCTACTCACCGCTCCCAGAAGTCGTCGTGCGTGACGGCATCAGGCACCAGCTTGCGGTACTGCGCCTTGAGCAGCGGGCTGGAGTCCAGGCGGCGCGCGGCGGCCGCGGGGGCGATGACCTCGCCCTCGCCCCCCTCTAGGCTGCCCCGCCGCGCCGGGAACAAGGGGCTGGACTCAAGGCTTCACGAGACCGCTGACGGTGGATAAAGTACCTAAATGGGAGCATCTAACTACTCACTGCTCCCAGAAGACCTCGTGGGTGACTGCAGTAGGCACCAGCTTTTACGCTTTGAGGATAGGACCTTTTTGCGCTTTGAGGATAGAACTGGTCACATACATCCAATATCGATAGTCTTCAAGAGACTCCTGGCTGCTGCTGCTGCTGCTGGTAGAATTTAGCTAGAATGGGGTGGAACTGCTCTCCGCTCCCAGAAATTTTCGTGCGTGACTCCGCTCCCAGAAGTGGCTTATGTATCCATGTCCAGGTCTTCAGGAGTATTTATGAGCCTTGAGGACAGGACTGGTCACAGACATCCATGTCTATAGTCTTCAAGAGACTGGTGGTGGTGGATAACCTAGCTAGAACCGCTCTCCATGTACTGAAAAGTCGTCATGCGTGACCGCGTCGGGCACCAGCTTGCGGTACTGCGCATAAGCTTCTGTATCTGGGAGCATCCAGAAGTGTCTTAAGTATCCATGTCCAGGTCTTCTGGAGTATTTTGGTGATGGGTAGGAGCCTGCTGGTGGTAGATAGGAGATTCTAGTCAAGCACTCACCGCTCCCAGAAGTCATCGTGCGTGACGGCATCAGGCACCAGCTTGCGGTACTGCGCCTTGAGCAGCGGGCTGGAGTCCAGGCGGCGCGCGGCGGCCGCGGGGGCGATGACCTCGCCCTCGCCCCCCTCTAAGCTGCCCCGCCACGCCGGGATCAAGGGGCTGGACTCAAGCGACGGGCACCCGCAGTGAGTGTGCGAACGCGACAGCAACATAATTACGCGCGAGCGATAAGGATGGGAGGCTTGGGGTCATTGGACAAAATTCTACGTGCTCACAGACCAGACTATAGAAGGGCGCATCTAACTACTCATCGCTCCTAGAAGTCTTCGTGCGTGACTGGATAAGGCTCCAGTTTCTGCGTCTTGAGGACAGGAATGGTCACACTCATCCAATATTCATAGTCTTCAAGAGAATTCTGGCTGCTGCTGCTGGTAGAAACTAGTTAGAATGGGGTAGAAACTGCTCTCCGCTCCCAGAAGTCTTCGTGCATCAGGCACCAGCTTCTGGATCTGGTAACATCAGGCACCGCTCCTAAAAGTGTCATAAATATCCATGTCTAGATCTTCAGGAGTCTACTGGTGGTAGGTAGGAGTCTCTAGCTTTCACGAATCAAGCACTCACCGCTCCCAGAAGTTTTCAGGCACAAGCTTCTTTATCTGGGAGCGTCCAGAAGTGTCTTAAGTATCCATGTCCAGGTCTTCAGGAGTCCGTTGGTGGTAGGTAAGAGTCTGCTGGTGGTATATAGAAGATTCTAGACTTCAAGTGTCAAGCACTCACCGCTCCCAAAAATCATCGTGTGTGACGGCATCAGGCACCAGCTTGCGGTACTGCGCCTTGAGCAGCGGGCTGGAGTCCAGGCGGCGCGCGGCGGCCGCGGGGGCGATGACCTCGCCCTCGCCCCCCTCTAAGCTGCCCCGCCACGCCTCGAATTCCGGGCTGTATGCCGGGACTATGAACGTGGCGTCCACGCGCTGCAGTGCTTCTAGCTCTTTCTAGAAGATGGTGTATTAACGTTTAGAATGTGAATAGGCTACTTTCCTAAAAAAAAAGGTTTTAGTCCGTCAATTTTAATAAAAAAAATATTGGACACGTATATTTTTAATTGTCAGTCAAACAAATAATTACAAAGTTATAGTGCGTTGAAGTTCCGCGTGACGTCACAAAGTGCAGCACTTTTACGCACTCACTGACGTCACGGGTCTTTAGAACTTTGGCACGCTTTATCTCTTTACATTTTCATCAGTGTTAAAAAGTGAAAAATAGGTGTCGAGTATTTTTTTATAAGCTAACTGACGGACTAATTAAAACTCTTTTTTATCCAGGAAACATTCGATATGTACTGATCAGGATCTGTAGAGCACGGAAATTAGGAGAGAGTAGGGACTGTACTACTATGAAAATGACGTCCACGCGCTGCAGTACTTCTAGCTCTTTCTAGAAGGTAATAATGATAGTGTTGTAGTGTTCCAAATCGGGGGATGTTTTTTTGCGAATTATAGTACAGAGGTGTATCATAAAAGGTGAAATAAAATTACGAAAATTCTTCAGATATTATCATGATGAAGCACTTTCTCAAAATTGGTAGCAAATGGGTTCGGTTTAAACTCGTGATCCTGGCCAGACATATCGGGGAGGCCTGTGTGCTCACCATTAGTTTACGGTAGGTGTGCTCGCTGGCGAGTAAGTAAAAAAATCTATGAAGATTTTAGTTCTTGAAAGTAGCCGCTAGTGGCGCTGTATAATCTATTATACATTTAATGTCATTTTTTTACGCTGTCGCTAGCGAGCACACTTTACGTAAACCCATGGTAAAGCACTGATGTTCACATCTTAATATTTGAAATATTATTTAAATCTATTTTAAAACTGCTATGGGGTGATTATATCGGAACCCTTGAGTAGAAAAAGTTTGTTACAGCAACACTGACGGACAACATTAAAGAATTTGGCATCATAGTCTGATGTTTTAGCAGTTAAATGAAATTGTTTTTATGTGGACACAGCCTTAATGTCTTAAAAATACATATAAACATGATTGAAAATACTTTAACGGACTAGTGTGAACAACCGGAATCGCTTACCTTATAAGTGGACAGCATAGTTGTGTCTCCAGACGACAGTATGACCTCCGTGTCATCCTCATCATCCGGCTCTGGATTCAGGACTGTGCTCACTTGACCTGAACAAACACAGCACCACTTCGACTTTACCATGCTTGACTTAAGAGCTTATTTCCAATGAAAGCGCTATTTGATTTAAGTTTCTATTTCCAATGACAATGCCTAAGTTTTTTAATATTCGCGATCGAACAACAGTGATATGTTAGAGAACAATTAAAAGTAATAGAGTATACATGAATATTTAGTAAACCTTGACACGCTTTTGCCAATTTGTACGCGGATTCTAGTATTAGTGAATGAATTATTTCAGTGCGAATCTTCAGTTATTTTGTTCTTGTTGGTAGTCGATTATACTCATATATATATGTTGCCGAACAAAAGTGTACAAGCTTATTGTGTGCAAAGAAAAATTAAAGTGAAGATTTGTGTTTTTTAGGTGACGTGGATTTTTGGACCAACAAATTAATGGTGACTTATATGCTAAAGTTTCATAATAAAATGAATCTTAATTGGACTTTCAAAAATAAATATAGCAGAATCTTAGGCGCCTGGATGCGAGCGGCGCAAGACCGGTTTTTGTGGAAATCCTTGGGGGAGGCCTTTGTCCAGCAGTGGACGTCTTTCGGCTGAAACGAACGAACGTTAAACAGTAAAAAATTTGGTAAGAAAATACGTTCTACTCACCAATGAAACTGCTAAAACTCTTTTTCATAACATTTGCTGGCGATTCTGGTACGTCTAACTGAAAAAGGAGACAAGTCAAAATTATTTTATGTAAGTTATCGCTTTTAAAGAGAAGTCCATGCCTTTTGTGCCATTTTATTGCCCGAGCAAAGACACAAGGTGGACCTGGATGACCTCTTTAAAGTAGCAGGAAGGCCACTACCAACCGGGCGATGTGGAAATCATTAGTGGAGGTCTATGTTCAGCAGTGGACGTCCTGTGACTGAAATTATGATGAAGATGTCGTGCTTCAAAGCTTATAAGGACGATTTTTTAAATTAAGTAGATATAGTTTCTAAAGGTGTTTAGTCCATACCACTAGGACTATTTTATTGTCCGAGCAAAGAAATAAGATGGACCGACGACCTCATAAAGGAAGGTCAGGAAGGCGCTGGATGCAAATCCGGGCGATGTGGAAATAATGATTTCCCCTAATGAGGGGAGGCTTATGTTCAGCAGTGGACGTTCTCAGTGCCGGATCCATTGGCTTTTTGGGCTTCAGCCCAGGGCCCCGTGGATTCAAAGAGCCCCCAGCTAAGTAAGTCAGTAAGTCAAGTCAAAGTCAAAAATAGACTGATAATGCGAAAGAGTATAGTAGGTGGGCCCCTAAATAATATTAGCCCAGGGCCCCTAAACTCACGGTCCGACCCAGGGTCCTGTGGCTGAAAATGATGATGATGAAAGACATTATGCCCTGCGTCAAAGCTTTTAAGAATTATATTTTTTTTAATAAGTATAATAAGTTTCAGCCATTGTTTACCTTGAAGGTCTTGCCTATGACGTTGGATGTGGTGCTGAAGACGTGGGTGGCCTCACTCTTGACCGCGCTCCCTATTTCGTCCAGGTCTTTCTTCACCATGGAGTACACTTCTGCTGACTGAAACAACCATAAAGTTAAAAACTAATACATGGGATCAAATACTCTTTAGGCAGTTCGATTTTTTCAAGTTGTTTATTTAAAAACTTTATTTGTATTAAGGCACTTTTCATGCCGTCATCTCATGCCGCATCGAAGTACCTTTGAGAGACTGGGAAGACTGGGTTTGAATATTAAACTGCATTGGGACTTGTATATTTTTATATCCCAGTTGTAAAAAATAAAGGACTTTCCTATAGATAGAAGAATAAAATAAGAAGGTGAAGAAAAAGAGTTGTAGAAACAACAATACACCAAAATGTGTATGTCAACTGATTATTATAATTTTGTGTATTTTTGTAGTTATAGTCTTTTTCACGTAAGATGATCCGTATGACACTTCAAGGTTATCCATATTACGCATACTACATATTATTATGCAGAATATATTTGAAAAAATATTTGTATTTTATTAGCAATATAATAAAAAAAATTAACTACTTGTCTTGAAATATATAGTAAAATCTGAGTCTATTGATTATATTTTAATTAAATACGATAAAAAATATGTTTTATTTAATGTACGCAATGTGTGAAACGGAATAGATTTAGTGCTGGGGTATTTCTTGTATAATAAAATCGATTATTTCCGCGGTTCATTAATCGATTGCAGTAAATACTTAGTTATTAAAAACATCACAAAAATCAACTATATTTTTCGTTTATTGACTTTAATAAACGCATTGAAAATAAATTAATCGTTTTTAATTTAAAGAAACAGAACCAATACTTTCTAGGAATCGTTTTTTTGAACACGAACCATGAAATTTGAATATTTTCAATAAAAAATTGTTACAATAATATTTGTAATTAAAAAACATGTTTTTTTTGTTAAATAACACCTATACAAAATATTTCTCTAAAAGTAGGTTTTACTAACTCTTCGAATAAAATCGATAGATAAATCGCTATGGTTTAGTTATGTGACATCTCTAAATCTTTCAAACTCGAAACGTCATACGGCCCATCATGGCGGTTGTTTACTATGCAGTTGATTTCGTTTGAGATTTTTCAAGGGACCTTATCATTGTTTTGTCTGAAGAAATGGTGCAAAATTGTATAGTGCGTGGTTGCGGTAGTTCGTGTTGTCCTGGAAGTGATATAAAATTCCACGCGTAAGTGTTTATTTCGTGATTTCTGACAGTGGATCATTGTTAACATATTTCTTTGTATTTTCACAGTAATTACTTCCTAAAACGTTTTACCAGTATTTAAACTTATTATTAAATGTTACATATGTCAAGAAAAAGAAGATTTTACATTGAGTTTCATTGACTTTGAGCAAATTTAAAATTTTTGTTTCTATAAGACATTTTGAAGTAGTATGACCATATTGAGGATATATCTGGGACTTTCTGTGGGACCTTACTTATCTAATTTTGCATAATGTTTTCTACGGCCGTTTACTGTAATCAATCCATATCCAAATCCGTCTGTCAACTGCCAAATTAAAATCTGTTTTCTATCAAATATCCACAGTTTTCGATGCCTTTACACTTTTTTAATGTTGTAATTCATCTTAAAACAAAAACATCGAAAACCTTTTTTCATAATCATATTAAGTGCACTTTATCAAGACACACTGTTTAAACGTAAATCAGTCTTTGTCGTCCTGAGAAAAATAAATAAAAGGTTACCCTACTTAGAAAGAGAGAGCCTGCCCACAGAGAGCGAGATAGTGATACATAGGTTGTGCTTCAAGTAGGTATTCTAAGTCTGGCCTCCATTTTTATCTTTAGCTTCATGGTCATACGGATCATCTTAGGTGAAAAAGACTATAGTGATTAAGTGTAGGGGTACCTATTTAAGTATTTATAGTGATATTACAAGCTCTGCTAAAGAATCGATAGTTGATGTGACATTTTAAAAGAAAACCTTGATATTGTACTGTTTACAAAACATTAAATTATCAGCGTAGGCAAACAAATTTTTGCTTTGTGTGAACTTCAATTGCTTTAATAAAACCAATGATAAGACGCCTGTATTTTTATCGCAACAACCAATAATAGCCATGTCAAGATAAAAATTTAGGTTAGCGTTAGTACGTATAGCTTGTTTATATTGAATAAGTATTTTTATTTGTGCAGCTTTATAAAGAACTAGCTGTGCCCGTGACTTCGTACGCGTGGATCCCGTTTTATCCCCTTTAAATTTTTGCTATAAACCTCACGGAGCCCGAGACCTTTCCAACGAATGCAAAACCGTGGAAATCGGTTAGTGCGTTCTGGCTGGAGTTATAGCGTCAGGAAGGAAAACCCGACTTATTTTTATATAGTGGATGAATATTTTGAACAGACCAAAGCCGAACGGTGAAGGTGTCGGACTGGCCGACTCGAGATCCGAGGAATGCTGGTCTACTTATTGTGATGAACCCACTCATCATAACACAAGCATATTTAGCTTAGTACGAAGGGTAAACGGGGCTATTATACTAATAATATAAATGCGAAACTAACTCTGTCTGTCTGTCTCTCTTTCACGCCTAAACCACTTAACCGATTTTGATGAAATTTGGCATAGAGATAGTTTGAGTCCCGGGAAAGGACATAGGATAGTTTTTATCCCAGTTTTTGAAACAGGGACGCGCGCGATAAAATTCCATGCGGGCGAGGCCGCGGGCGGAAAGCTAGTTCTTTATAAAAAATAATCTTGGGTCCGGGGCCCCCTCGGCTTGGGCCCATGGCATTTTGCCAACTCTGCCACCCTGTAGTTACGCCACTGCTGAGGACTGTATTAAATATACGTTACCAACAGTTCATGGATCACATTAATTTTGCACTAAAATCGATAATTCGAGTTTAGATTAGATAAGATTTCGTGTTTGGGAAATTTATCGATTTAAGCTTTTGTTAAATCATATGGCGCTGGTATAATTAGAGTAAGTTATCGTTACTTATCTATTGCATATTAATATTATACTTTACTAGAATCTAGATGTAAAATGATTAAAATTGTTATTGTTTATTATTGCTCGTCTGTACCAGTTACTACTTCTGAATCAAAACTGAGCCATGTACTTACTAGGTAGGAAAGAGTTCATAAAAGCAGTGATCTTTTACAAGAAACATGAAAAACAAACTTTGTACCCTATTTACACCAGTATCGAGTTCACATTCCAAGAAGGTATGAGTAATTCGTGTTGATATTAACTTACTAATCTTATCAAGCTGAAGAGTTTGTCTCCGGAACTACTGGTCCGATTTAAAAAAAATGTAAAGAAAAAAAAATTAGGCTATTAACATCACCTTACAGCCAATAAGGGCGGAGTAGTAACGAAAAATGCAAAAACGGGAAATATTATTCAAATAATTTTCGCGTACGAAATCGGGGACACAGCTAGTAATTTATAAAGCCCGGAGCAGTTCGGACTGGTCCTATTTTTTTCTGCTTTATTTCATTGTGGTTCCAATGACAGTTTAACGTTAAGCCCAGGAACAAACTTGGTGTTCATGGTTTCCAATATTAGTAGGATTACCATAGATCGATACGAGACGAGACCGTGCTATAGGCGACATGAAGTCTACGCCATGACCCCGGTCAAATTTTTGAACGCATGCCAATTTGCCCTCGTAAAATTATTGCTATCATCATACAGTATTAAGTTAAACAGTATTATCTGTCTGTTAAACAGATGACCATCCAGCTATAAGAAATAATAATGATACTAATTTTTATTTTATTTGGTGCACAAAACAGAGATTCAATAACATAGAACATTTTGTATCTTACATCAAAGATAGAAAGGCGAATACTTTTTTCACACATCTGCTATTAATAGTGATTCTGTCAAAAAAAAAAGAAATCTGAGTCAACCCAAAAAATATAAAAAACTAGGTCATAAAATTTAAAAAATGACAAAATTAACGATAATTTCTAACCTACGAAAAATCGTAGAACATACATGGGGATGAAATCGATAGGTCTGGTCCTCATCTATCACCTGCCTTTCGACACCTTACAGCAAACACCCTGTATAACTCAGTGGCCTGATGATAGTAAGATGGTGGCTAAATTGGCTTTATTGGATGCGGTTGGGGAAGACACGTATGGAAAAATATGGCAGAACCTGTAGTTTAGGATTGGCTGATGGAAAGATGGATTTAGTACACCTACTTTATTTTCCCAGTATTAAGCATAAACAATTGTTTAAATATTTACATATGCATAACACATTTATGTACACGAGGAATTAAAAACACTTGTCTATTACGTAAGACCTCGTAAATAGATTCCTTATTGATATACGATCCAATTCCAAGTTTTAGTAGGCCAAAGTGTTGTAAACTATAATGATGACATTTCACCAAAGTTCAAGTCACTGTCACTAGTATTAGTTGGTCGGTGTGAATTAGTTTTAGTTTACGTAAATGTATTGTGTAAACAGCGCTGAAAAATTATTTTCAGTATGTTCTTTTTGAAGAATTACGTAAAACTTTTGTGATTTCGAATTATTTGAAAAATATGTAGTAGAATGTCTCTTTAATATACATTAACTAAGGTTATTCACCCTGAATTTGACTGTCCTTTGAAAGTCACAAGATAAGGATATAAAATGCATAAATTTAGTTTGTATATTTAAAATACAATTTGTTTATTGTGTTATTTTATTGTGCCAGCAAATATAGTAATATTATAACTATTCAAAGTGAAGAAAGTAAATTAGATTAGTATGTGTTCTCTAAAATAAAAAAGAAATTAATTAAAATAAAATTAACACTGATACTTTTTGTAAAGAAGTAAGACTGATGAAGGCATAGAAATATATATTTATTATACGAGGGCTGCACTAAAAGTATCGGGAATGGAATATTTCCACTGTTCCAGTCATATTAAAATCTATTTAATTGCAAAGTCCAGGGTTTTAAAAATCGTATACCATTTATTTATTTAAAAAAAGATTCTCGGTCGTATCACAAGGTCTTGTCAAACTTGTTTAGTCGTTGAGAAAATGGAATTGACTCGAGAAAATTCAAGAGCGATGATTTATTATGACTTTTGAAGTGGTTTAACACAAAAACAGTGTGTTGACCGGATGATTTCTGCATTTGGTAATGAAGCCCCATCCAAAACCACAATTTATCGCTAGTTTCCTGAATTTCAACGTGGACGTGTCAAGCTCAGTGATGATCCCCGTCAAGGTCGTCCAAAAACTGCAGTCACCTAAGAAAACGTTGATGCTGTGCGTAAGCTGATTGAAGAAGATCGACATGTGATATACCGCGAAATTCAGGCAACTTTAGACATTGGCATGAGTCAAATACAAATAATCTTGCATGAACAATTAGGTGTAAAAAAGTTGTTTTCCCGATGGATACCGCATTCGCTCTGTGAAGAAAATAAAGAATAAATTGCGTGGTCAGAGATTTTCATCACCTGAAGAAGCTGTGGAAGCCTACAAAACGGCCATTTTGGAGACCCAAACTTCCGAATGCAATGGTTGCTTCAATGATTGGTTTCGTGTATGGAAAAATGTGTCAAATTTCGCGGAGAATACTTTAAAAAGCAATAAATACATTTTTAAATAGTAATGTTGTTTCACTTCCTTGATTCCCGAAATTTTCAGTGCCGCCCTCGTATCTACCTAAATTATATCAAACTATAACTATTGTAGAATGGATGTTATAGTTTTAAAAGTAAGAGTTCTGATGATCTTTGAGATATAATTTGAGAATTTTCCCAGGCTCCGAATGCTTTGTTATTATAAATCTGCTGTACTGGGAAAGGTATCATTTTTATTTCCTTGGAAATCATTACATATTTCAAACCACTGACTTTCATTGATGAACCAGTATTGCCAGGTAGACACACTACACAACTTATTGTATCTATCACATACCTCTGTTGCTTATTATATCACTAAATCTTTCAAAATTCTATTTATTTAGATTGTCCCAATGATTTAAGTAGTATTACTTAAACAATACACACAATTGAATCCAATTCCTACTTAGATATTATTTGAATTCGATAATTCTCTACATTTTTATAAACCTGCATAAAACTTAGATTAGAAGTTTAGTTTAAATACCTTGTTTTTGGCCGAAGACAGCCAGCTGTCCCACCAATTACCCGATTGGCTCTCTTCATGTTGTGGAGACGTGGCAGCGTCACTGGGACTCGCCTCTCCTGACCTGAAAATCGTGCGATTGCGGTCAAATACCTGCCTTGTTACGCATAAAAAAGAACATGATACATTTGTTATTACAACATTGTACTTGTGAAGGAAGAAAATAACAAATGTACTGAAAGTTATCTTGCCAGTTCTCATCAGGAATCGTTTAAGAAAATGAAGATTACGTAAAGATCAGGAAATAATTCAAGTAAAATTGAGTTTTCTATTGCATTATGTATTTACTGGAAGTTACTTGTTGAAATTAATTTAAAGGTTATTTAACTAATCAGTAAACTAATAATCTGCAGAAAATATAATAATGGTAGAGTTCAAGATGGACAATTTCTTTCATTTGGGGTAATGAAGTACTTAGGTTGTTTTGTAGAGTCCAGCAATGAATTAAGTAAGATCTAATATTATAATATTTATTAGTCAAAGGCTCATCAACATTAACATTTCTAACAATACAATAATATCTTACGGCACTGTAATCTCAATAACAATAAAATTTAAATTCATTGACCTTCTTTATAACATTACACTCTGAAAGAAACCTTCTGACCGAAAAGTTATGTAAATTGAAGCATGGTCAATTTGGAAAATAAGATACGCGGAAAAATGCAGACAAAACCACTTATATGTTGTTGTATTATGTTACCAACTTGTCTAGATTAGATTTGTGTACGGCCCTGTTACAATGCGGAACCAATTCCGAAAATGAAACCAAAGCTAATCACATTCCGCGGTTGTTAGAGCTTAAAACAACTAAGATTTACCAAAATAAACGAGTTTATAAGGATATATGAGTAAAGAAACTGCGTATATTAAGTTACAAACTAGTTTCTGGTATTCCAGGGCAATCTAAGCATGAACAATAGTGGACCCATTTTGGAAATTCTCAAAGGCACTCACCTCTCAGCCATCACGCAATATTTTTATTACACGTCGAAATTACGGGAGCACATGGATTTGTACACATAAAATTGTTATGAGAACTGTTGTTGTTTTTACACAAAATTTAGAATTAATTTTGACATAGTTTTTGTTTGCGTTGACATAAGGTTACAAACGTTCCGTTGCACGGACAGGATGAAATTCAGAACTATGATAGTCATAAAATATTCTTACAAAGTATTATTTTCAAAGAATGTATATTATATGTTTTATTAATAATGAAAATCCATTTCTAAGCTTAAAATAATTTTCAAATTGTTTCAAATTTAAAAAAAAATACAAAGCGTCTCTAGCTACGGATAACGGAACGTTTTTTTCTTTTTAATACATCTAATCTCCACCAGATGGCGTTAGGGGTATTACTGCTCTACTGCTTTAGCTAGGTATCTACATCTACCTTTCTCGACTGCAGAAGAAAAACTTATGTTTTAGAAAACAGTAGTAACATAATAATTTGGTATTATTAAGTATCAATGAAAAATATTTTTACACATAGCCTACATTTTGTTTTGTACAGTTGGCTTTTTTAAACTTGTGTAGAAAAGAGCAATAAAAAATATTTTCTGAATTTTTCTGGCTTTTGTTTTTAAAACGATAATATTTAAGTAGATTATAGCTCGCAGAATTGCTAAAATCAAGTGGCAGTGGGCGGGGCACATAGCTCGTAGAGACGATGGCCGTTGGGGCAGAAAAGTTCTCGAGTGGCGAGGCGACCACGGGCTGGAAGACGTAGCATGGGCAGGCCTCCTACTAGGTTGACCGACGATCTGGTAAAGGTCGCGGGAAGAGCCTGGATGCGGGCAGCGCAGGACCGTGAATTTTGGAAAACCTTGGAGGAGGCCTTTGTCCAGCAGTGGACGTCATTTGGCTGAAACGAACGAACGAACGAACGATAGAGGTTAGAGCATAATTATTATTTGCAATCGGTTTGGCTTCTGCCACATCATAGTTCAACTTTTTTGATGTTTTAACTTTTTTTCTAAATATTTTGTAAATTTTATAAATATGTATTTTGTTCTAATTAATGAAACAGCTAACTACGTTTTACATCACAGTACATAAGTATCTCTCTACTTACCTAATCCACATGTTATTTCTACATCAATTTTATCTTGCACGCTAAACAAATACATAGTTTGAACCGACTCGGTTATTCATCCTCAATACCTTATTGAATAATGCTGAAGATGGCCGATAACGCCTACACGACGCAAATTAATATTTTGCCTCGCGAATAATATAATTAGTCGTAATAACGTCCATATTCGTTCCTTTTTTAAAATTTTCGGGCATGGGAATAAAAATTTCGCGCGCTTTATTTTTCTTTTTTCTTGATGCGAGTGTGATGTGAGCATTTTGGACTGAGATTTCGTGTAGGTTTTTGTAAAAAGTTTTATCTTCTTGTAGAAATTTTAATGCGTGTGTAAATACAAATTCATATGAAAGTGGTATCTTTTGTAAAAAAGTCGAAGGAAAAATGGTAGAGAAGAAGTTTATTGAGCAACTAATGATCGGTACAGTTAAGCGAAAAATATTATTTTTTGGCTGACATAATGACCGCGATCACTTTACTTTTCGCCAAAAAGGTAGAGAAAAAAAACTATTTTCAATATAACTACCTAACTTTTCAGGGTCGGACTGGGCCGGAAGGGCCCGGGTGGCTGATAGCAATCCCGAGGCCCGAGACTAGATCATGGTGATGGGATACTATCGAAAAATACTGAGATACACAAATTGAGATAAACAAACTGTAAAAAATTTATTACAATACTAAAATAAAGTAAAATAATAAGTAGGTATTTACTAATAACAAATAATAATATAAAGCTAGCCAATCAACATTTTTTTTAAAACAGGAGAACTTTCAGCTAAGCTGTTAATGACTCGATCGTAAAAGCTGCTGTTTTCGTAATCCTTGATAAGATCCGATTCTGTATTTAATACAGTGTGAGTTACGATAAAGTGCACATATGAAATCAGGTGAAACTAGATCTATTTTTATCGACAAAAAACAGGTCAAATTTTTTTTGAGATTTTTTTAAAAAAATATAAAGATTTTTTTTTCTTCCAATTACTTACCTATTGTAAAGAAAACGTAATAACTTTTAAACTAAGAGGTATATCCTGTAAAAACAGTAATAATGCTAAATAACAGACAATACTAAAAAATTAAATAAAAATCTCAAAAAAAATTTGACCTCTTTTTTGTCGATAAAAATAGGTCTAGTTTCACCTAATTTCATATGTACATTTTATCGTGACTCACACTGTATAATTAACGAATCTAACAGTTCTTGCCCCAGTAGAAAACGAAGTCTCGTTTTAATGCGCTTTAATGCTGAAAATCGTCTCTCACAAGTCACTTGCGTGAATGAAATTGTGAGAATTAAACACTGTAATTACATAAAAAAAGCAAAATAAAACTTCCATCATTTTCCGGCAATTTTCCGAGTATTGCATTTATTAGAGAACGCAATTTTATTTTTGGGATATGTGTGGGTGAATGTGGTCAATAGAAGCTTAACCTCAAGTTTTTGGGGTCGCCACCCTTGTCCCCCAACCGCCATCTTGAAAAAAGGGGTGAATACACTTTTTTAAGAGTCTTACAAAAATTCGCTGTGTCATAATTTGTAGCAAATTGTTTTGCCTATAAATATGCTTACACAGGCCCCTCTTTCCCACTGGGCACTTTGGGCACGTGCCCAGGGCCCCACGACGGAAGGGGCCCCCGTCTGCTCAAAAGACCTTTTTCCAGATGATAAGACCCCCCTTGATCCTTAAGTGCCCAGGGCCCCTAGTAAGTTCCCTTTCAAGGTCACTAACATAATTATTATTACTGGACGGGATTATTACTGATGGAAGAAACATATTCCATAAACAACAACCACTCACCGATCACAGCGGGCATCAGCTCGTGATACACGATGTGCTGGTAACTACATAGCAATGTTCACGTCCCTGGCGACCTGGTAAAGCTTGTCGTCGCCCCAGCAAGGGTTGAGCTCGTGCAGCTTGTCGGCCAAGTAATTGTGGTTGCGGAACAGCCAGAAGATCAGGTTGACCTGATCTCAACATCAATGCCGTGGAGAGCGTCGCGCTTAGCTAAATTATGTTTTTGTGACGAGTGGTTTCCCCACAATAGTCCAGCGGCGGCGGGGTTCAAACCAGTGTTCCTTGGATCCCGAGTCGGCCAGTCTGACATCTTCACCGTTCGGTATTGTAGCTTTGTTCTATAGTTCAGGATTCTATGTGAGTATCTACTACTTGACTGCCAAAAATCCAACCAATGAAGGCCAGGGCATCATGAAAGAAACATAAATGGTCAAAGCCCTCTTTCCCACTGGGCACTTTAGGCACGTGCTCAGGGCCCCGCGACGGAGGGGGCCCCCGTCTGTCCGTCTCAAAATACCTTCTTCTAGATGACAAGGGCCCCCTTGATCCGTAAGTGCCCAGGGCCCCTAGTAGGTTAAAGAAGGCCCTGTTTTACATAACTTTTTGTCCTAAATTAAATTAGAGAAGTTATACATAAGCAAAAAGGATTTTTTTTGCTTATAACTTCTTCAATCTTTAATTTAAGGCAAAAATTTATATTAACATATTTGTAGGCAAAGCAATTTTCTACAAATTATGACTGTACAATTTTTTTGTACGAAGCATAGTTTCCGAGACATGCACGCGGGCAACCGTAGCACAGGGGCCACGCTGCGCGGGCCCCCTGTGCTACGGTTGCCGCATGCCCCGCAACCCAGGCCGTGGGGGGCCCGCGCAGGCTGGGGCCCGGCTGGCAAATGCCACCCCGACTGTATGGCCAGTCCGACGCTGTAACTTTTATTCTATGATAGAATTTGAAAGCTGAGTTGGCCTTACTTTGTTTGTTTCATTGCAAGGGCCAGCGATAATTTTATGGTTCTCTGACTCTACACTGTTGTCTGCATTTTAATAAGTAGGTACTCATGAGTTCATCCCAAAATGCTGGTATGAGCGATAAAATTAGCGTTAGCTATAATTAAAAATTATTTGTTGTATAATTATTTAATTATTTATTTATTCATTTGCATTAACATATTCAGCACATACAGGTATACATGCATTCACACATTGACCCTGTGAGGGTGTAGCAATTATTAATAGTAGAGAGAATAAATCACAGTGAGATCTACTGGCGCATCATGGTGATCATGGTCATCATCTCCCATTTTGCGAAATTGTCCAAGGTATATTCTTCTCTTTCGATAACAACCATTGCGGATCCCAAGACATTCATATACTCGTACCCCCAGAAGTCAGAACTAACAAACCTTTTCTGGTTAAATTTCACACTGCATTGAGCACTAGAATCACCCTTCCACATTTAACTAGGTTTTTAATAAAAAAACAGTTTATACCAAAACATCATCCACGGTTTTCCCATGGCCACGAAGGTACCTTAAATATCGCGGGAGTTAGGTGGGTACTCTCAATATTTGTTTAGCGAGTTTGCAAGGATGCGCGCACGCCCATTATGCGAGTTCTCGATCAGATTCGCGTGGCTTTCTTCATTATTAATAAGGGCCCCTCGAACGATGCTGTAACGGCCTGTCCAGTACAGGGTGTTCGTAATTTGAATTAGACGTCTATTAGGGTAAATAGTTTTTAGACGGTTAGGCTCGATAGATGTCACTATCTTTGCTTCTTTTTTTAATGGGCTCGCGAACGATGCTGTAACGGCCTGACGAGTACAGGGTGTTCAGAATTTGAATAAGAGTAGGCGCACACCGTTGATTTTTCGTCGGCCGATAGTTTAGTCGGGCAGTTGATCAGTATGGGCATGTATGGGAGTGCGCACACTACGCCGATTCGATTTGGCCGATTCTTCACAACTATCGGCCAACTAAAAATCAACGGTGTGCGCCTACTCTTTAGACGTCTAATAGGGCAAATACTCTTTAGATGTTCGACTTGGTATCATGTTGTTATCTTTGCTTTCTTGTTAGAGTCCGGAGTCCGGACTGCTCTCGCATACAGATGTTCAGAGTAGACGTGTTGACACCACCAATCAATTGACGTACTTTTTAAAAACTGTCAAAACGAGACATGGTTACTGCTACTGAAAGTGCTGAGCTCTATCAATGAATCG